AAAGTATTATTAAAATAGATTATTTATTATATTTTTTGTTTCAAATTATATTTATTTTAGGATCGACATCAAGGTTCAACGTGGTCATTTAAAAAATGAAAATTTAAATTTTTCTTTATTACGTTTTTCTCTTTCTATTGATACAAAAATGTTAAAAATCTAGATGAAGATTTTTGTCTATTATTTCAGATTCTAAACTCTTCTCTATAAATAAACAAAAATGAGTTTTGCTCTTATGCGCGGTTTTCGACCATTAAGCCGTATCGTTCATCCATCTTTGGTTAATTCATATTTTCTTGGTGGTCCATCATCAGTATAAAATTTATTATCAAAAATTTCATTTGATTTTTTTTGTTTAATTTAAATAGAAATCAATGATACCTGTTGCTGGTGGAACAGCTGTTCAACCTATATTTCCACTCCAAAATCCAACAGCAAATATGGCTGTATTTACAACTTCGGATCATTGGAAAGTAGAACGTGTGGTAGCCGTAGCTATGCTAGCTATCATTCCAGGCTCATTTGTTTATGATTCAGCATTAATGAATTATTTACTTGCTGCTACAATGGCTATTCATGCTCATTGGGGTTAGTTAAAATAGATATATTAATAATAAATAATAATATATTTTATGTTTCTAGGAATGGATGCTGTATTGATTGATTATTGTCCTAGAAAAGCCTTACCTTTCGCTAATCTCATTCGATATGCAATGACAGCAATCGCGTTTGGTGGTCTTTGGTAAGAGTGATACAAAAAAAAAAAATAAATGTTTATATTCAATTGATTGTTTTTATTATTCTAGTTATTTCAATTACAATGATATGGGTTTAACAAAAGCATTAAAAGCACTTTGGGCTCTACATTAAACATTTTATCGAATCTATCTATAGATTAATATCCTGCACAGACATATATTATATAGTTTTTTTGCCCTTTACTGTAGTGACATTAAATATCTATATTATATCCTTTTTTTCTTTTTTGCTTAATAAACATCAAATGAACCCTTTAATCATTTATCTTTTTATTCAATCGATTAATTAATTAAAGAAAAAACTTGATTAATTAATACTTATGCCTGATTGAAATATTTATGGAAAATATATTCAAATCGTTAAAAGAGAATCGACTGAACCACCATCCAAGTCAAGCACCACGATACTTCTTTTTTTTGGATGTTTTCATCTCAGATGAGAGATCCCATGATGATAATTATGAATCCAAAAATATTTGGGTTATTTCGGAATTAAAGCCTAAAAATAACAAAAAAAATTACTTTTTAAAACATTTTGATGGCATTTCGAAATTTTCTTCGCCTTCATCCATTGCTTTAAGTTGAGAAGGATTTAAAAAATACAGAAAAGATTTCTCTACAAAATGACCTAGATCAGTATTCATTACAATAACTTTTAGTAATCAACCATATATTCACATCAAAAGCAGGGATCTATGATTTATGATAACTATTGTAGCAACAATTCTCTTCTGACTCGATTGACTAATGCTATCCCACGAAATGAGTCCATAGCGTTTGAAACTCTGCATCTTTTGATATATATTAATGAAAGAGTAAAACTACGTGTATAGGTTTTTAGTAGGAACGACCAATAGTGCATTTTAATAGTCCTTGATAATCATTTTGACCGGCTTTTGACCACTATATAGACTATGTTTGTTCCGAATAAAAATATAAGTCAACATTTATGATTCGCATAAAAATGATATTAAGTTGAATATACATTTAATAAAGTTGAAAAAATAAATTTGAGTAGAGGTAACCTGAATTTATTTATAGTTATCTTGGTCAACCTATCTAGTTCTTCGTAGGAAGAGATAAGATGAAGTATTTTATCTCATTTTGAATAACCACACGTCAAGCTTTAAAAATGCTTTGGTAATTTTCTTAGACGTTGTTTTTATGTTGAGAAAATTTGAACTGTTTCCCATACTAGTGTCGAAGCCGTATAAAAATTGTTAAAGTTGTGTTCGTTTTTAGTAGTTTTAATTATTATAGTTCAGTTTTAGAGTAAAATAAATATTATATTCGAAATCATCACAAAAGCTACCTCAGATCAGATATATTCTAGTAAAATTTAAGTTTTATAAAAAACCAACTCTGAATAGTATGACGGTCAGATTTTTCGGATTAATGCTCAGGAGGAGTATAGGTGCATGCTTTGTGAAAAATAAACTTTGTCAAAATATATTTAATAGAATGTAGGCTTTTGCATTGATTTCAAATATACTATTTATTTTGCCCTCATATTAAGCTATACTGTGAAAACTACCCAATACGAACACCATTTCAACAGCTTTCTGTGATTTTGTCACTGAGCACAACAACTGTGGTCACTACTAAAATCTTGCGTATGCAGTTTTGCTCTTTGAACAATATATCAAAAGATGCAGAATTTTAAGGCGTTATGGATTTCTTTTTTTTTGAAATACAATAAGTAAACCGGATTAGAGGCGAGTTACTAACAGACTGGTTACCATGAACTATATACCCCCTTCTTTCTTTGTGAAAATACGCTCAATTACAAAAGTTATTGTAATGACTACTGAGTAGCCCATGTTTTTGGCGAACGTTTTTCTGCTTTTTTAAAGACCTTTCTCGACTCAAAACAATGAACATACGCCAGAAAAATCTCAAAATACCATGAATTTCTATGATCTAACCTCAAAAATTGAAGAATTGTGGTCTTCGGCATTTTTTTACAAGTATCTCAGAAAATAAAAAAAAAACAATTTAGCAGCGGATGATTAGGATAAGCGTCCGGCAGATCCTCTCTGAATAATAATAAAATAAACGAGACAATTCTCATCGAATATCTTTTATTTATTGTCTTACAATATTTTCTTATTTCCAGACTTGCGATGGCATTACGCGGTCTTAAAGTACTTGAATTATCTGGTTTAGCACCTGTTCCATTTTGTGGTATGCTTCTTGCTGATTATGGCGCTTCTGTCATACGTATTGATCGAAAAGATGATCGACAAAATACTCGATTAGATCGACTGGCACGAGGCAAACGATCAATTTCAATTGATCTTAAAATGTCAGAAGCTGTTGAAGTTTTTCGTCGTTTATCATCAAAAGCTGATGTGCTTATCGAACCATTTCGACCAGGTGTTATGGAAAAACTTGGTTTAGGTCCTGATGTATTATTAAATGATAATAAACGTCTTATTTATACTCGTGTATCAGGTTATGGACAAAATGGTTCATTGGCAATGAAAGCTGGACATGATATTAATTATTTATCAATTAGCGGTCTATTATCCATGTTTGGACGATCTAATAAAAAACCACACGCACCTCTTAATTTAGCAGCTGATTTTGCTGGTGGTGGTTTATTAGCTGCTTATGCAATTATGTCAGCAATATTTGAACGGCAAACAACAAATCTTGGACAAGTACTTGATTTATCTCTTGCTGAAGGTTTGGGAGTAATTTTTGATTTTATGTATAAAATTCATTTCTTTATTTTCTTTGTATAGGATCAGCATATGTTAGTTCATGGATGTGGACATCACGAGATCTACCTATGGTGTGGTTTGGTGAACAACGTGGTGAAAATCTTCTTGATGGAGGAGCTCATTTCTATGATACATATGAAACATCAGATGGACATTATATGGCTGTTGGTGCACTTGAGCCACAATTTTATAATCAATTACTTATTGGTCTCGGTCTTGATCCTAACGATGAAAATCATAGTCAAATGAATATAAATGAAATGAAAAAGAAATTTGAACAAATATTTAAAACAAAAACTCAAAAAGAATGGACAGAAATATTTAATAAATTAGATGCTTGTTGTACACCAGTATTAAATTGGAATTCAGCATATGAGCATAAACATAATCAAGAAAGAAAAAATTTTTCTTTAACTAATGAAAATAAAAATAAACTTGTACCAATACCAGTACCTAAATTTTCCTCATCGAAATTACCATCAATTAATCGACCAGCACCATTTACAGGTGAACATACAATTGAAATTTTACGTGAAATTGGTTATAGTACAGAAAATATTGAACAATTAATTAAAAACAATATTGTCCAAAATTCTGAACGATCGAAATCAAAATTATAAATTTATTTTTCTTTAATTTTCTTTTCTTCTTTTTGTTGATTTACATCTGCATAAATCCATTCTTATTATAGTACAAATAAAAATGTCATGTTCTATCCTTTTCTTATTGTTATTATCGTTCACTACAGGTTATCTATTCAACTATAGTTTCTTATTCTTCGATTCGATGGTTTGATTGGTAACGCCCACAATGATTACCATGACATTTAAATAGATAAGAAAAGATCTGAAGCATCGTTGGATAAAACTTATTTAATATGCTTCTATAACGAACGTAGTACCAAAAAAAGAAAAAAACATGTGGCAATAGTTGTTTATTATCACACAGCTTCTAACCTACTAAATACCTTCGGAGGAAAATCCAAAACAGACAGAAAATGTGAGAAATAACCTTGAGTTGATGACGACAACAACAAGATCTATGAATGAATATCAATGATTACTGATAGATCGTTAATATAACTAGGACTTTTTTGGCTTTCTTTCTTTCTTTCATTGATTTGTTTTGACTTATTCTCATCAATTCACCAGAACTATCTCTTGTTATACTGTTATGTTGATAATAATGATAATAATACAATAGAGAAAAGAAGCAGAAAAAATGCGATAGATGCTATGAAAATATTCAATTAAGCACGGATATGATGATTTCCCGATATAATCTATCACCATTATAGGCACTAGCAATAACAACAACATCTGTCTCACTGTCACCCTTCTATATTGATCGTGAATTCTAATAGCAATAGAATCTAGAAATAGCTCTCTCTTATGTACGTGTCTTTAAAGACATATTACATCAGACAGACAATAAACATTTATCTGTATGTATTAAACGAGATCAACAATTTTTCTTCATTGATTTTGCATTAATTAAGAAATCTTGATAATAACAAATGGTGGGTTGAAATATATTTTGTTCGATTTATATTATTCAATTTGTTTATTATTATCATCTAGGAAGAGACACCACATTTAGTTGCACATTTTATGGCTGCTGGAGCAGAAAAACGTTTAGAAGATTATCATTTTTTACGTAATACTTATGAAACAGTAAATTTTAGTACATAATCATTACAAAAGAAAAAGCTAACTTTCCCGATGAATATTTAGATTACTGGACAAGAAATACAACTTAATCGTATTTTACGTATGCTTGGTGAAGATGAATTTGCTCTTAGTTGGCGAACAGATTTCTTACCAATAGGCAGAGCTTACTCTCGATCTGTTTATGATTTTGATCGATGGCGTAATACAGTCACTTTACAAGGCAATATTGCTTATGAACGTCTTCGAGTAATCAAAGAGTTTCTATCAAAATATTTAATCAACGATTTAAAAAATTTCTTTTTAAATAGGACTTAGAACATGACTATTCAAAACACACAAATTTACCGACGATTCCATCATCATCTCGTCGTGTGCAAGAACTTCGAGAACGTCGAAAACGCTTCAGTGAACAACGTGATCATCCATCATCATCGAGAACTCGTGGTGGTAGTGTTTCATCTTCAGCACGTTTACAAGCTTTAGCTGAATATGATACAGCATTAGCAGAATCTGAAGCAAAACGAAAACGGCAAGCCGAAGAAAATCGTTTAAATACTCCAAAAACTGATGCAGATGAATTAATTGAAAAACGACATGAAAAATTCAAAACAATGTTTGATGATGCAGCAAGTCAAAAATATGAAAGTATGTTTTCTAATTTCTTCGCAATAAATATGTTTTCAAGGATAGAAATAAAACAAAACACAGTAAAATATGTATTTTTCTATGTAGAATCACAACAACAACAAGTTGAATCAAAACAACAACAAGTTGAATCAAAACAACAACAAGTTGAATCAAAACAACAACAAGTTGAATCAAAACAACAACAAGTTGAATCAAAACAACAAGAAATTGAGTCAAACAAACATTTAATAGACAATGGTCATTTGATTGCAGATCAAAAGAAAAATTTAATCAAAGATCAAGCAAATGATTCTGATAAAATTCGAAAATCTTCTATTGAATATGATCAAGAAAAATCAGGAGCTATTGAATTGATATCATTTACTGTTGATTGGGAACCTATATCATCAACAAATGAAAATCAAGATGAACAGAGTTCTTTAATTCGTCTTAAATGTCAATGGGCATCACCAAGTTCATCCTCTGCAATCGATTATTTTACAATTGAACGTCAATTAGGTGATAATGAATGGTTACCTATTGGAGAACAAATTAATAAATTAGAAAATCAAGCACAACTAGATATTTCACTATTAAATGATAATGATAATAATGAAATAAATGTTAATATTCCATCATATTTTCGTCTTAAAGCTCATCTACAAAATGGTCAAACATTTACAAGTAAACCAACTGATGAAATATTTATTAATTTATTTCAAGATAAAAATATTATTATACCTCATGTGGAAATTCTTTCATCTGATTCTGTTCAATTAACATGGAACGATAAAAAAAATGAAGAAAAACCAAATATTTATGATATTGAAAAGAAAGAAGAACAACAACCAGAGTGGGAAAAAGTTATTGAAGTACCATTATCACAACGTTCAGCTAGAATAGATAGTTTAACCGATGCTAAACAATGTCAATTTCGCTTGACACCATCAACAAATGAACCTGAAGAAATGAAAACAACAGGTACAACGAATACAATTATTTTTTCAATTCAGTAAAATCTCTTTCTTTTCACAGACAATGAAGTCGAACCAGAAGTATTAACCGTACATAACGTTAATGAATGGTTGAATTCATTACATATCAACCCAACATCACCAAATACAGTTGATATTAATATATCCGAAGAAGGTTTTAAAGAATTTGATTGTTATAAAATTGAATATACAACAATTGATCAACTCGATCAATGGATACAAGTAAAATATTGTTGACTTTTTTTGCATACTTAAGAAATATAAATAGCTCTTTTCTTTTGTCTAGATATCGGATATTACTCATGATGATCCACAATTAACAATTGATAAGCTTAAACAAGGAACTGATTATAAATTTCGTTTTACTCCAATTTTACCAGGAACAGCAACAACAAGTGGAACTGATACTTCTCAACTTTCACTTGTCCTTGATGTTAAAATGCCATCGGCACGAAAAGGGCGATGTAAGTTCAAGAAGGTTTCGGTATATATATATATATATTCGTTGTTTTTAGTTGCTAAAACTGAAAGTGAAACTCCTGTGGCTGTTCCACCTCGATTTTCAATTCAAAAACTAGATTCAACAAGTGTTCTTATTGAAGCCAGTGTTCCAGGAGAAGAACCAGCAGCATTTGAAGATGTATTTGATGTTTATTCAAAAAACCAAACAACAGATGATGATTGGAATAAAGTATGTAATAGAAAAAAAAGTCGTAAAATAATATTCAATAGAGAAGAATTGATTTGTACTACACTTTTTCAGATACTAGAAGATTATTCATTTTGACTGTAAATAATACAAAGGAAACTCCTCTGTCATCCGTCGAGGAAATACATCTCATTTATAGTGTATTAATATTGATACGTATTAAATCTTTTTTTTTAAAGATAAAGATTTTAAATTCTCTGAAAAGTAATTTCGGTACTCTAATCCGTCGATTTCCTGCAGGAACTAGCAGAAAAAAACGCTATTTCCGACCGGAGAATGATATGAATCTGGAAGTAAGAATCTAATGATCGTATCCTGTTGTCGGCTCTATATGTTTTCGACTAGTTCCGACCTCAATTGAACTAATCTGGTCATCAGATGTTTTGTCAGATTCTTGCTTCAAAGTTCCTATCATTTCTTAGAGTTTTCCAGTCATTTCTGATTTACCTGGGTTATTTATTATCTTATTAATACATAATTTAGGTTGGAACAATTGATAAAGAACATCTAAGCACAAAAGTTGAAAATCTTGAAGAAAATGCAGCTTACAGTTTTAAAATTGATAATATAACATCATCATCAGATGATAATGAAAGTAATACCGTACAAGAATTTAAATTTGAGACAACGTCAGGTAAAATTTTTGTTTTTTTAATTTTCAATTTACTCTGTCAAAAATATATGCTACTTGAAAATGTTTTCATCTTTCTCTTTGTTGTTATTTCAGTAAAACAATATGATCCATCTTTACTTCTGGAAAAAATTGAACAGAGTCTTGAAAATGTTGTTAATAATGTTATGCAAGCAGGTAAGAAGAGTTGAATCCTTATTAAAATATAAGTATTAATCAGTGCCGAAAATGATACCAATAGGATTTGACTCTTAATGAATACACTCTATTTTGATCTATAATGAGAAATTAATAATATATATATATTAATATGTTTCTCGTATGACCTTTCCTACGTGCTTTTTCTCAAATATCGTTACATATTATAACTGATACTTTTCGTCTGTGAAAACCATATGCATATTGACCACATATAATAACACTTTTAAATTGCAAGAAAACTGTTTTTGAACTCTCTCATTTATAATAATAAGCTTTACAATTTGATTTATCTATGAACTTCAGTTAGATTTTTATTGTTGCCTTTTTCCATCAACAACAGGTAGAACCAATTATTTACAATCAGAAGACTTTTTTCTTTATACAATACACATTAACATAAGAAAAGTATCTACCTTAAACGAATTATAGAATATCACTGTTAATAAATGTTTAATTAAATGAAAAAAAAAAACAATAATCTATTATTAGTATAAAAGTCTTGAAATTATTACAATAAATGAGTGTTTTAAAATCGGATAGTTCTCATTCAAAACACTGTTGAATTAAACTTTCGAACTCGAATTATAAAATATTTAAAATTAATCTTTTCAACGCCAACTTTGAAACAATGTTAGCAACTTTTGAAAATTTTATTTTATCAACAAATTAACAGCTCAAATAATTTAAAAAATTTTTCATCTAGATTATAGGTTATATATATCTCCAAATAATGAGAATAATTTTTTTGAAAAAAACTTGTTATAATTTATCTTTAGCTGCTGGTCATCAAACACTTGAAGAGCCAGTGAATAAAAGTTTGAATGAAGTTATTAAAGAAGTATTTCGTGATGAAACACTTTTACCAAGTGAACAATATGGATTTGATACATTAGCATTAAATGATGATTTATTATTATATCGTGGACCAAAACAAATGATGTTAAAAGAATTAGAAGTAGATGAAACAATTGATTTATCACAACATTATGGTGAAATAATAATTCATAATTATCGTACAACAAAACAATCAGTTATTGTACGAGAAGATAATGGTAATACACGTGTTGAAAATATTCATGGTGATATTATTATACGTAATGTTGTTAGTGATGTTTTATTAAAAAATGAACAAACACATCATCAATTATCAATGAATATTGTTGGACAGGCTTTTTTAAAAGGTGTACAAGGAACATTAGTTGCATCAAAGTTTAAAGGAATTATAGTTGTGAAAAATGTAAATAAACCATAGAAAATAAATATATAGAGATTTTTGTTTTTCAATTTTTAACCTTATTAGAATTTTTTTATTTTATTTTATTTTTTTTTTCTTTAATTCTTTTTTTCAAAAAATAAAAATAACTATACATTAGTGTTAGTGTAACACAAAACAATGGACAAAAAAATATTTTTCTTTTTCGTTTTTTTTTTCACAAAACCAAAACAAGACAATATGTATACGAGTTTTAACATTCGACGACATATTAACTAAATTCGAGTTGTTTCAGTGAAAGTGATTGTTGATTAGTTTCTTTTAATGAATCACTAACTAAAAAATGAATAAAAGCAAATAAATAGAGATGTCTTGTTATAATACAATACAAACTGGTTGATCGATTTGTATTCTTTCGCATACTGAATATTCTTGAACGAATATAAGAATTTGATGCAATATAAACAAATGGATTGAAATATATTGATGATTTAGCAAATATTGCTATTTAGAAAAGAATAGTTAGAAATAAAGTAATTTAGAAACAAATTAATTAACCTGGTAGTGTACCACCTAATGGTGGAATTAAATCCGGAGAAAAAAATGATGATATAAATGCTACAATGGCATATGGTGTCCAGGCGATTGTAAAACTAACTAAAAATAAATTATGTAATATTTATTATAATAAATGAAAAATTTTAACTCCTATCATAGAATTTACGATCTTGAAGTTTATGACACATATTAATAGCGTCTGTTAGTAGAAGAAAAGTTTTTCTGAGGAGAATTTAGAATATATAAAACTTTAGACATTCATAAAAAGTTCAAAATCACATTTTCATTAACCATTTTGATTTGTTTTGACAGTAAATTGTTGCACTTATATACATAATAGAGTCTAGTTAATTATTCATAAATATGTTTCAAGTCATGTGTGATTTCAGTATCTCATAAAATAAAGCATCTAGAAATAACAAGTTTTAATGTATTTCTCAAGACTTCTATACTCTATTATGTTCACATGTTTTGATTAGTTATCTTTTCGATATTATTACCAAAGAATGTTAACACTATATAGTTCTATTCATCCTTTATTTAAAAACGTTTTGTATAAGAAAAGATATTAGTTTTTGATCGTAAAAGACCTGCATGTTCTCAAAGCTTCCAAACAATGAAGTGCTAATCTACGCAAACTTAAGTCTTTGTTTCTGTTGACAAAACTTTTCTGACTTTTTTTTTACCCTCATTGATTTGCTATTAGAAAAATGTTAAAATTTTTTTCCAGTCACTTTCTGTAAATAAAATTCATTTTACTACTATCTACTAAACTTTAACTCTTTTCATATCGGAAAACAAATAGATAGCATGAATATTTTGTAATGAAAAGATTATGTTGATCGGAAAAAGACATATTATAAAAAATTCATGGAAAAATATAATGTTCTAATAGTATTTTACATAAAAATAAAATGAAAATGAGATAATAGTTATTATTATCTAGAGAATATCGACATAGGAGCAAAACTTAAAAGCTTTTCTACTTCAATGCAAATGTTTCCTTCCTAGAACGAAGAATGCATTTGACGCCAACGTACTCATGACATAAAAGCTAGGTCTAAAAAAACGACTTCATGTCATTTCAACTGTACCCATATCTCAATGTCAGTATTAGGTTTTTATTTTTTTTCGCTCTATGTTTTAAAAAAGAAAAAAAATTGACTCATAATAGTACCAGGAAATTAAACAAAAAAAAAAGTTAGAACAATAGTTGATGATGAATTGTAATCACTACACAATAGATACTATCAAAAATAAAAAATATTCTAATGCATAAAAGGTTGATCTTTATTAAAATATATGATGAAAATATTTTATTTTTAACCAAAATTTCAAGAATATGTTTTTTCTTTCTTTATTGAAATTATATTGCAGGAAATAAAAATAATGCCTAACTTCCGTCTATATATCAAATTATATTCAGCTAATCGTTTTTTCACATGCAAATATATTCATCAATAAAACAGAGTAGTTTTATAGAAGAAAGAAACAACTCACCGATGATAAAAAAGACTGTTTTAGCCATGCGTTTTTCCATGTTTTGTTTTTTCAAACATGATTTTGATAAGCCTTTAATTGTATTCCATGTCATTTGTGTTCTACTTGCTTCGCGTACCTTATATTCATATAAATATATTTAAAATTTTACAAAATAAACAAACAATTTATTAAACTTACTTTAAGATAAATACACGTATTGCAATAAACCATAATAATTAATGGAATAATGTAAGCAAAAATAAACATAAAAACATTGTAACTAAGGACATTTATTGATCGATCTTGCCAACATATGGAACATGTTGTTCGTGCACCTTCTAATCTATAATTATTCCTAAATGAAAGAAATTAAATTTCATAGGAGTTGATAGAAGAATATTTCTCTTCTCTTTTCTTATTAATATATAACAAGTTTTATTCATGATGATTTATCTTTATATTAGCTATCAAACTATAATTCTGAACAAATTTCATCGTTTATAATTGCCAGAATTCTTTCTATAGATATATTATTCATATAATAAGTGTTCTGAAAAATGATGACAAAAAATAATTTAAAATAGTAAATATCCATTAACAAAATCAGAAATTATTCTAATTTTGTTTTTTTGAGTAAAAAGAAAAACAGTTTCCATCATATTATTTTTTCATTTGAATAATAATAAATTGTCACTTCATTTAAAACTTTTTGTTTATCTCAAAATTCTTTTTTACTCATTTATCTAAGCTATAAGTAATGTTCAGTTAGTGTTATTTGCTTGTATGAGTTTAAAAAAATCATCATAAAGATGGTACAAGCATAAATGTGAAAGATAATGCTTAGATTTTAATCAGATAAATATAGTATTCTGTAATCAAATTATGCGATTTAGAATTAAAAACTTCATATAATAATTAGTTTTATTTATTCTAGCCTTTTTTAACTTAGAAATATGTCACTCTATATAATCAAACTTTTCTACTTACCAACCAAATACAGGTGGTAATGCCCAAAATAAACCACCAAGTACAGACAAAATTACTGATATATAAGCAGTTCGATAAGTAACATATTGCTCTTTTGTAGGTATAACAATTTTCCAATACCTTTTGAAATAAATCAAATATTATCTGATTATCTATGAAATTTTTCAAACCTATTCAAAGATAAGGCAGTTAATAAATAGAGTCCAACCATTCCAACAAAATAAGTAATAAAACCTTCATAATAACATAAATATTTACCATACAACCATCTATATATAAAATAAATAATGATTAAAAATATTTAAAAAGAATCATCTTACCGGCAAGCTAAATTAGATGTGAGTGATAATGGTATTCCAAGTAAAGCATCCAATAAATCCGCAAAACTTAGAGCAATAATAAATATATCAATTGGTGATCGACGACGTTTATTTTGAAGAAGAATAATAAGAATAATAGCATTGAGACCAATACCACAAATAAAAGCAAAACATAAATAGATACCAATCCATTTTAATATTTGACACGATGCTAAAGCAGGTTGTGTCCACTCGTTGTGTGTAATATTGAAGAATAAATCATTAAACATTGTAAATCTAATTCTTTCTTCCTAATTAAAAAAAAAGAAGACATTCAAATAAAAAATAATTATATGCTCTTCTATGTTTACAATTAACACTCTCTTCAACAAGTCAGAAGAAGAAGAAAAGAAAAAAAGAGAAACATGACTAGTATATGAAATTCATCTAAACATTGTTCTCCATGTTAGCGAGTAAATATTAGAAAGTCATCAGTAACATATTGTATGCATTCATGAGAATAAAATGAATTTTAATGGTTACAAAAGAATAAATGAACCTCTCAATATATTTTCTTAATATCTTAGACATTTCTTATCGTTTCACACTGATGTTTTTGTTTCTAAGAGATTCAATATGATATTGTCTACAAAATCACAGAAAAACATGTGTTAATAGGATAGATATCAAAATTTTTTCTTCAACAATTAGTGTGAGCATGTATTACGAACAACTTTGAATTACGAATTCACAATATAATCTTCTTAGAGCTAATAAATAATTACTAAAGCTATCTAATAAAATGTGTGAGAACTCATGTCATATACGAAGGATAAGATGATTTTAACAACTATTCAAAAGAAGTCTATTCTCTTGATAAAAATCTCATGCTAATAGATTTCTCTTGTGATTTTAATCCAGACCTGCCAGCCTGCCAGGCCAGGCTACTAGGCCAGGCTGAATTTTAGAATTTTAGCCTGGCCTGATGCAGACCAGGCTAGAGTCAGCCTGGCCGAAACTTGTGGCCTGAACGGCATGTAGTAAACTTTTTTGTGCATTGATCCATTCTGATTCGAAGCGGCATTGCAGTTTTAAAATACTTGGACAAAGTGATTGTATTCAAATTTTTATTTTAACATTCATAGCAAATTTTAAAATGACATACTTTAATTTTAATACAAACACCTGTTCTCTGCCTCGGTTTTCGATGTTTTATGTAAGTCTTTTTGTAAACAGAATTGCGAATGTGTAACCTCACTATGTTCTGAAATAATTGACAAGGATAATCATTAGTGATATTCAAATGTCTCATCCATTCTAATTCAATATTAATAATGAAGATTCAAAGTGGTACCTAACTCTGAGAGTTTACATCAACTCAGAAGGCTATATTTTCTCGTTAGGATACATGATTCTTGTAAACTAATTTACTTGTTTTCGTATTTTTATGCTGACTTATGATCAAGTTAGAATGTGTCTCAATAGGGAAGGATAAGGTGTTCTTATACAAAATGAAACTAATTAATAATAAAATCCAACAAGGATCATTCAGAAAACAAAGACAAGCAGCAAACATTTCTGACTTGGATTAAAACTGTTGGCTATTTTTCAATTTTTATTTTATACTTATTACAGTATATATTTTTCACTGTTGTGGAACAACCCTGATGAAAGTAGAATGGATTTGAAAGCATAACTGTCTGCATAAGCAAGACTATTCTTTTTTCAGCAGTGTATCTTTTGATTTTCCATTTCTTGGAAAAAGCCGTAATCTCACTATCTTAATTGAGGAGAAATATGCGACCACGACTAGAATGAGATAATGAAAAGAAGTCTGCTGCACATTGTAGAATTTTATCCATGAAAGTAGTAAAATATTTGATAAATTTGTTCTGTTCTCTCAAAAGCCTGCAGGCCAGGCCAGCCCAGGCTGAAAAAAACTGGCCTGTTGGCAGCTCTGTTTTAATCTGATTAAAAGTCAAAAGAAAAAATATTTAGACATATTCAGCCAACTTGCCCTATAACGACATCAACTTATAAAATAGAAATAGCGTAGCAAAAGAGTACGTTTTCTTCTGACTAAACTACCTGTTCGAGAATACAAAAAACCTGAGGTACAAAGACGTGCTTTTTGCTTAAATCTGAAAAAAAGAAATACGCATTTTGCATGAATGACGTTCGTTGAGAAAATTGTTAATTATGACCATGAAATAGGGCTTGTTATGTTCTATAAAAATGCATAGTGAAGTTTTTCCATATTTCAATAGCAGAACACACAAATAAGAAAAAAAAACCAATTTTATGCTTGAAAGCTGTTAGCTATAGACTGACATAAAACTTATTGAATAAATTTCTTACCTTAATGTTTTTAACCAAGATTTTCCTATGATTTCGTACATAAAACGATGCTGCAGTTTTTAGAAAAATGTTCAATAGGAAACGATAAAAAATGATAGAGAAACTGAGATATTATTAGGAAGTTGGCTACTTTTTTTCTACTGTATACGTTAGAAATTTGTTTGAAATCTATTTAATTCCATTTTTATATTTTATTTTATTTGGTTAGGGCATACTAGAAATAGTGACACCAATAGTATAAAATCTTACGGAAGGTTCGAGGAAATTTTCTTTCTATATATACTGCTAACCCCACTCAAGTTCTATAATTCTACAATATTTCAACATCCTTCAGGTGATATGATAAAATTGACAGCATAGCAAAAATAGGGGCGGTGACATTTCAATACCGTATAGCAAGCTGTAGGAAACTTTTTTTTTATATATAGCGATACTAAAATTATTGCTCCGTTTGTCTGTTGTATTTCATCATACTGTAACTGATGTCATAATAATAAAATTTTGACAAAGATCTGTTTGTTATCATTTTGTGACGCTAACATGAATGTTCATGTCTGAACATAAGTACATGAGTATTTTTTGTTTTGAGGAAGTTTTGACAGCAACAAGATGAGAACTGCGGTTTTTATTGTTGACAAAGACGATGGAGACCCACCGAATCTTATATTTTAGCCTTTCCTCATATGGTTTCTGCAGTTTTTTCAATCCGTTACCTGGATATCGGAAAAAATGCTTTTTTTTTGTTAAAAAAAAAAAGAAAAAGTAAAAAAGTAATTCTGTTTTCACAGTATTTGCTAGAAAATAGATTTAGTGTGTATTAACTAGAATACCTATAAGTGTTGAATGATAAAATATGAATCTCTAATATTTTCGAAGTTTTTTAGACTTTTGATCAGCAGTTCCAATGCTTAGCTAATAATTCAAAATCTATTATGAACAACTGATAAGGGATACGTTTGTTTTCAAAAATGTCAGTTGGAAAGCTTAAAAAAGCCGACCAGAATGCTATGTAATATTCGATTCCATGCACCTTGATCTCCTTTTCCTAATGATGAAAACCAGTTTTCTCTCTTGTGTCTGTTCAAAGTTACTGAAAGAATATACTAACGGACTTTTTTTCAAAACATGAACGTTCATGTTACCATCACAAACGATGAGAAACAGCTCGTTGTCGAAATTTTATTATTATAATACCAGTTGAAGTATGATGGAATATTAGAGAAAAATAAACACTACTTGTAGTCTGCCTTACGTATAATCTTTTCGTCAAGTCACAACTATTTTTGCTATTTTCTCAACGTAATAATATTCCTTGAAGGATGATGAAATTTTGTAGAATTATAGAGCCCGATTTGGATACCACTATATATATATATAAAGAAAATTTTCTCAAGCCTTCTATAAGATTCTACACTTTTGGCATCACTACTTTTAGTATATTCTAAATGTTTTTATTCAATGTATAGAATCATCATTGTCATAATGAAAAAATTCTTTTCTTTTCTATTATTATTTATTTATGTTGCTACTATTGCAAAAATTGAGCAGAATTTATTTTATTTTTATTTATACATTATCTGAGGAAGCTTGATGAGCTGATCACAAATACAGGGTGAGCCAATAATCACTTTACCGAAAAAATTGAATATTTCTATCATGAGTCTAGCCAACAAGCTGATTTTTTTTTAAATGATAGAAGTATGTCCTAGCTTTATATTCACAAAAACATGCTTTGAGAGATCCTTTGTCAAGCATGCTGCTTTTTTTCTATCTTTTAAAAAGTAAAATTGCTTTCTTTAGATCAATAATGATACTTTACAAAGGGTCTCTCGAGGTATGTCTTTATGGATATAATGCTTGAACATAACTCTATTATTGATAAAAAATATCAGCTTGTTGGCACGAGCCGTAATGGAAATATTCAAATTTTTTTGGTAAAGTGATTTTTGGTCCACCCGGAATATGTTGTTTAACTATTTGAACAATCTTTTAAGTTAGAAAAATTGAAAAAGCTCGACAGGTCTTAAAGTTGAAAAAATTGCCTTCTTCAGAAAAATTTCGATTTTTTTTTCATGTCTGTTCTACGAACTGCTCACCATGTTTTTTTTTCTTATTTGCCATTCAGAATAGAGTATGCCAGATACGTTTGCTTTGTTTCGAAGCCAAATGCCAGTCTAGTATGTTTATGGCGAACGTCGCCACTAAGACATATTAGTATGCAACGTTGAAAATCCATCTAGATTTTGTACAAAGAGATAATACAAAGATCATTATCTCATAAGAAACACTGAAATGCACGCCTCAAAAGTAAGACTTAACTTTTCTTATGCATGAGAAAGTTGAATTTTTCGACTTCAATGTGCGAAACGTGAAAAGCTTAATTCGTATTTTGCAATTCTGACCTTCATATTTATATTGATGAGTAATATAAGTATTATATTTGGAATCAGCACAAAATAAGGAATCAGATAGCATAAGCTTTAAACAAAACAATTCTTCGATAACAGGATATCTGTAATCCTTCTCAATTCTTTTTTCAAAATTTTCACCAGTGGTCCTCACAGGGGTGTATTTTTTCCAAAGAATTGTTTTGATTAAAATCTGTATTATTTATCTCAAGTCTTTGTGCTGCCTCCGAATATGATATTTATATTGTTCCTCAATAACAAGTTTTTAACAATTTAAACATTAAAATAGGAAAGACCTTAACTGTCTCATGAATGAAATAAAATTGAGAAAAAAATCAAATCGTACTTTTGAAGCACTTATTTCAATGACTCTTATAAGGTCTTTTAAGTTTTTCAATTTATCTAACTTAAAAGATTGTTCAAATAATTAAACAACATATATTTGTAATCAACTCATTAGAGTTTATCAGAAAAAGTATAAATATAATAAAATAAAATTTGCTCGATTTCTGCGTTCATTGTAC